TGTTTAGGGCCTTGAAGGTGGTGTTGCCCTTTGAGGTGTAAGTTATTGTAGCATAGCCCGGCTCTTTCGATGTCAAGGGCCAATCGCCTGTCAAAGAAATAGATTAGGAGGGTGCTGGAAGCTTTACCCGTTCCTTTGGGGTTGAGTAGCCGGCGGATCTTATGGATCTCTTTTGGCTCGATTTCGTTTTGCTTGCAAAGGAGCTCAACATGCTCTTTATTGTTGACTTCAAAGCTTGTGGGACAGGAGTGGAGGAGGACGGGGTGAGCTACTTGGGATGTGACAAAAACGGGATCAGCCTTTTCAGTCCAAAGGTGTTTATTGTCTAACAACCATTTGGCTGCTCGTCGGTCTTTAGTAAATATTTTTACATCCCCATTCGGGAATTGTGCGACAGCCTTTACCTTAATTATTTCATTATCGATCGTTGCCTTAGCGAAATCAAGTGCATCGTTGATTTTCTGGCAGATAGTTGCCGCTGTCAGGCCTTCGAAGGGTTTGGGTTGATCAAATTTCTTTCTGATAACCACCTGCCCCAACTTGAACCTGTTAATGTACGACGAGGGGGGAACCGGCGGTAAGGATTTTGCCACCCCAGGATTGGAAGTCCCGGCCGCCTTCTCTGAGTAGAGGGGGGCAGGTCTGGGAGGTAAGATGCACGGCTTAGCGGCCGTCTGAGCCATCATGTTGGAAGATTGAGGTGAGGACAGAGCCTCAACCTTTTTCTCCAATCTGGTCATGTTGGCCGCTATCTCTTCGATCCTCACTAGGAGGGTATTGAAGGAGTCCGCTCGGGTCGCTCCAGTTGGCTTAGAGGCCTGTCCGGAGACGGCCCTCTCAAGACTTTCCATTCTAGGGATCAAGGTGTCAATCACCTTGGTTAGCTTATCCGCTAGAGTGTTGTCGACTGCAGGCAGGGTGCCTTCAGCAACGTACATGTCCAAACCGGACATGCCGTTGCCGGTCGCAGGGCCTCCGCCCTGCGGAAGCAGGGTGGTTGGGCATGGATTGATGAGATTGGTTGTGCGATTGTAAGGTTGAGGGAAGGGGAGGGAGGGGGAGAGCGGGGCTAGTGCTCGTTGTATTGCAAAGGGAGATGGAAAGGGGTGGGAAAGTGATGTGTGCTGAGAGAT